TATTGAACATTTATGGTTTGTATTTTGAAATTTGAATTTCGGATTGATTTATTATTATTATTATTATTATTTATATTTAGTTTAACTTTTGTTTATTCACCACCATCGAATACTTATGGATATCAATCAGTTGAATTAATTCCAAATGGATCACATATTGTAAGACAGGAGACGTTGGGGCATATCATAAGAGATCAAATCAGCGCATTCTAGTACTTTACTTGACCAATCTCACTGAATCATATATCAATAGAACAAGCATGTTGAGACTAATATTTTCGTACTAGTTTCATGAGGTCTTAATCGAATTTTGAAATCTAAAAGCTATCAAGAAAATAATACATTTTAGGTCATTATTTTAATAATCCATCGCATTATGGTGGATTCAATTTGAGAATAAGCAGGCAAGACAAAATATTTAGCAACTCTTTGATGGTGTTTCAATTTTATATTTAAATCACTAATTGATTGCTTAATTTAACGAGATAATATAAGTCTGATGTACTGGTAACATATGTACCATATTTATCATCTACACTTATCTTTCAACAAATATTTTAATTTAAAAATTGAAAAGACCAAAACTATGGTATTGCTCATGTGATAGTCTACAAAATCATATATTCTCCGAAATCAAAAAAATCTCCTAAGCATCCTATTCTCCAAGAGCGATTTTATATCTTTTTTTAATCAATATTTAGAAGATTTTGATTAGAAAAAGTTCAATTTGAGTCAAAACTAATATGATATTCAGAATCAGCATAAAATTCTGAGTTGGCCTAAGTGCAATTTAAAGGAATTCTGAAACTTTTTTTATCGTCGAAAAGTTTTGTCTATGGTCCCAGACGAATAATCAATTACATCAAAACATTATTTGCACATTACACATAAACCTTGAAAGTTGTTAAAAGCTATTAGATAGCAAAATGAGAGATGCCTAGAAAATAAAATCGAGATTTTCATTGAGTTCGATTTTTGTCTGGTACCTGAAGAAAATCACGGGCAAAATTTTTCAACGAAAACAAAAAAGTTATAGAATTTCTTTAAATCGCACTTAGATCAATTCAAAATTTCATGCTGATTACGGATATCATATTAGTTTTGACTCAATTTGAACTTTTTCTAATCGAAATCTTCTGAATATTGTTTAAACTATGCTTAGGAATTTTTTTTTTGACTTTAGAAAATATATGATTTTGTAACATTTGAAAAAGGACAATCAAATGAGATAGATGAATTGATCAAAAGAAGTACTAGTAGATCGATTTGACCTCTTATGCACCATCCTTTATAGATAAATAAATTTATTTTATTTATTTATTTTTTTTGTTTTGTTTTATTTAGGATGTAACTATTGATAATATTGATCAATATGTTGATTTATCACTTCAATTTATTCTTCGTGATGGTATTCGACATCAAATGGATGCATTTCGAAGTATATTTTTTTGAAAACAAAAATATTTGAATTTTTGTTTCTAAATTATATTTTAATACATCTATTTCTAGATGGATTTAATCAAGTATTTTCTCTTGATCATTTACAATGTTTTAATCCACATGAATTACAATTAGTTCTTTGTGGTAATCAATGGCCATCATGGACATTAGATGATTTATTGACATATATTGAACCTAGTCATGGATTTACAAGAGAAAGGTTTTTAATTATTGAAAAAAAATAAATCAAAAAGAAAAAATAAATTATTATTTATTGATTTTATTTTATTGTTTTCTTTAGTGCTGGATTTACAAAATTTCTTAATGTAATGTTAGCACTCGATGGACTTGAACGAAAATCTGTCGTTCAATTTATTACTGGTTGTTCATCATTACCACCAGGAGGTTTGTTTTAGTTTTATGATAACGTTTGAATATTAAAACAAATAATCTTTAGGTCTTGCTAATCTTCGACCACGTTTATCTGTAGCACGTAAAGTTGAAGCTGATGATAATTCATATCCATCCGTAAATACTTGTTATCATTATCTCAAATTGCCGGATTATTCAGGTGAAGAAATTCTTAAACTTCGTTTAATGACAGCATGTAAAGAACGAGGTTTTTATTTCAATTAAACGAACAATTTATATTATGTTGTCTTTTCTAATGTGATTTAGCCTTTGTATAATGTTTTTCTTTTTCATGTTAATTAGTCTTTTTTCGTCTCTCATATATTTCCAAAATACGACAAACAAACAAAAAAAGATACAAAATTATTGGACCTTTTTCCAATATTTTTGTCTATAGATGAAAATAAAATAAAACTAAACAGGATTCTATACTATAATGAATGACTATGTTTTCATTGAAACTTGATCATACATATACAAATATATCTCCAAAAAAGGTGCTAGAACAGAAGGTTCGTGTTAACCGAGCTGTTCAATTTGTACTGAATTTACTTTCGTAGAATTCATCAAGTAAGAAACGGATGTTAATCGAAGATAATCCAAAAACAAGCAGAAAATCTCAAAGAGTAAAAAAATGTTCGGAAAAATTCGGCAAAAAACCTTTGAAGTTCGAAAACCCATAGAAGTCTGACTTCGCTACTTCCTTTGATAGGGCTCGACATTTTCAAAGAAAATTTATTATCGAATTTTGACCTAAACCTGAACGTATACAACGTTCATAATGAGATTATCATATGTAGGAAATTCTAGAATCTTTGTAAGATGCCGGAAATGCAAAATTAAAGCAGAATTTTTCTTATATATGGTTAGATAGAACGCGACGAGCTGATCAAGAATATATGTGTTTTTATATCTGTGGTATGAATTTTTAGGAGAAAAATTTTGTATTTCTGACACCTTGTATAGCGTCTTTTTAGATAAGAAGTTTTCAAAATTTTAGTCAAAATCGATAGCTTTCAACATTACTTATGAATACCTCTCATAAGAATAAAAATTTCGTTCTTCCCTTTCTCATCAGACAAAAAAACTTAGCGGATTTGATTAAAGTCTAATAGAGATATTCAAATTCTTTGTTGAAAGATGATTTTCAAGACACTCGGTATAATATTATCTAAATTTTCAAAAATACTCGAAGATAATATTTGACTTACACAAAGTTTATAGCGTGATGTTATCATCAACTACCGATAAAGTGAAATATCTATTGTTAGAAAATTCTCTTTCATTAATTTTCTTTATTTTATTTATTGATGTATTCTATAATTTATTTAATGACGATGAAAATTTGTTCTATGAAATGAGTTAAAACCATATATTCTTTATAAATAATTACTGAAAAGATAATTATTTAAATAACAGACTCTTCATAATCTGTTCATTTAGAAATATAATGTGCTCTATTATGTTTTTTGAATAATTCCAGAAAGTAAAGATCTAGAAACTTATAGTTTTCACCATCCGAAAGACTAACACAGGCAACATTAATCTATGTAAAATTCAATCTGTTTAACAAGGTATATATTTATCATTTTACAATAAACTTATCTAAAATCATTAAAATAAGCTTTAAAAAATCAGTTGTCTTTCGAGATTGAATATCCGAAAAAGAAACATGTTACTACGATCTCCACCAATCAACTTTCAAGACACAGATGCTGCTGATGGAACCAGAAGGGGCTCAACCTTCTTCAGAAATTTTTCAGTTTCATTCAGAAATGAGACTATTCAAAATGATAGTCGAAGAAAATACCTACTTTTCAGCTTCAAACAAAGGTTGAATTTCCCGGTAGAAATTTTTTTCTGGCCCCGCCACTAATAGGTACCAAGCACTTTTATGAACTGATTCATCAAACATTAAAATAGATTCACGCTCCCAACTTTGATCTTTCGAATAGTGAAAACCGCAGATCTCTAGCTACATTGCGTTTTAGAGTTATTCAAAAACTAATGGAATACATATTTATAAAATGTGGGTTTGATGCCCTCCAGAAATGCATCGAAAAAATAGTGATCGATCCACTGTTCAAATCAAATAAACAAAAGAGTTGCTCCCATAGAAACTGATCTGTTTGACAAATTTTGTTCTGTTTTGGGAGCAACATTTCAGTGACATAACAATGGTTTCGTATAAACGGAAGCGTCATTCTCAAAAACGAAACAAAAGTTTTTTTATATCCGGAAATGCTTTTCTCACAAGATACAAAAAAGAAAATTATTCGAACAGAGTAGCTCCAGGAGCTGAACTGTTGAAATAAATCAATTCAGATCAGAGAATGTTTTCAATAGATTCAAACTAGAACTGAACCTGTCAATCTTTAATCAAAAATAAAGAAAATTGAATGTTTTTGGCATCATATGAAATTTTCTTCAGTATTATTCTCCATCCTATATTCAAAATATATATCAACGATAGATTCTAACAGAAAAAAAAGCAACCGATTAAGTCTCACATCCCTAAAAAAAAAGAGCTTATTCATCACCTAGTGACATCTATATTTCATACATTTTTTACATTCTTTTCTATAAATTTTATTTTTATTTTTATTTTAATCACTCATAATAAAAATATTTTATTAAATAAAAATCAAGTCAAAAAAAAAATATTTTCATTAAAAAAAATAATAAATTCTTCACATGGAGGATCAATTTGTATATGGCTGAAAAAAAACTTCTGGCTATAGTTGTTCGTCGTTGAATATTAATAACTTATTCAAAACCAATTAGTTATTCACTAAAGCATTCTCACTCCTATATATATGTATATATATATTCATTAATCTATTCCAAAAAAAACACATTAAAACAAAAAAAAAAAATGGAACAAAACCTAAGATCCTAAATCTAAAAACTACTTTTTTTTCTCCTTTCCTTTAAATCATACAACGATATTTTCCATATGATGGAAAACTTTTTTTTTCATGTTGAACATATTTTTTTGTAATGATTCACATGTGATGTAATGAGTCTGATGGAAATAATCGTTGTAAGATAATTAATATAAACTTAATTTTTTTAAAATCTCCTTTTAATTAAAATTCAGATTATTTTTATGAATAATCATTATTAAGACAAAAAAAGAAAAGAAAATTATGGTTCATTTTTCTCAATCACTTATGCCTGATGTTCCATTAGCAACATCATTACCAACAACATTTACATTTCAACCAAGTAATAATAATAATCAAATTGATGATCAATCAACATTACAACAACAATCAGTTGCATCATCGTCACAATCTCAATTAAATTCATCAAATCAACAACAACGATCATCTTCAAATGATGAATCAAATACTAATAATCAAACACATCCAAATGATTATGAAACACGTTTACGGTATATCAAACAAAAAAAATTCTTCAAAAAAACAAAAAAAAAATGAAATTTTATTTATTTCTTAGATGTCCTAATTGTGATACATGGGTTGTTAATTTAAGTGATCATTTACGTAAAACTCATCGTATAGCATCACCAGTTGATCGAAAACCATTATTACGTATGGCACGTTTAGAAAAACGTCGTATGACTGAATCAGCAAATAATACATCAACAATAAATCGTCGAACATCATCAACACTTATTGTTAATGGTTTACAATCATCACATACAAATACAAATAATGAAATTGAAAATTTACTTTTTAAACATGAACAAGATTCAAATCCACAATTTTCTGTTACATTACCAGAAAATATTTTACTTAATCATCAAATAACAAATTCTATAGGTCATTTTACATCACCAACATCAAATAAACGTATACGTTCATCAGATGATCATACAGGACAAACAATTAATGGACCATTATCACCAAATAAAAAAAATCGTTTAGATATTATTGATACAACAAAATTAGTACAAACAAGTCATTCATCATCGAGTAGTAAATCAAGTAAAAAAAATCGAAATAAACAACAACAACAACAACAACAATCACAACCGCAGACAATTATTAAAACAGCAGCATCGGGGATATTTCCACAACAAGCTGTTGCAATGCAACATATGGAAGAAAGTTCGGATGATGTAAGTCAATCGAAATAGACATTGAAATTCATCGTTTACAAAAGAAACTTTACAAGAAAATATGTCCAAATGTTGAATGTTCTTCGACAAGTAGATCTCAGTAACACCCAGAAAGATTTTAAAGAATATTTACTCAGACAAAAATATTTTCGAAAAACTCAAAATAAAAAGCTTTTCTTTATAGGGAAGATTTGATAGTCTTGAAAGTTTCAATAAAAATGAACATGTCTTTATGGAGATATTCAATTTACAAGTAGACTAGATTACTATGCTCTCTTGTTGTAAATCCATTGGTTTTTAGAAACAGAACATCTCAAGCACGATTTGTTTGTTTTTGGCTGAAACTTCTATGAATATCAATCCGATAGTTGAATCGATTCAGAAATGAACAAAAAAAAAGTTTTTTTCATTGCATAGCATTTTAATGATAAATACTAGTCAAGATGATCTACTTATTTCATTAGAGAACTTCACTAAGTGGTAAATTACTTTTATGATGAGTCTTATCTTCTTACGTTAGTTCTTTTGAGATGAGAGAAAATCTACAAATATTCGTGATCATAGGTGTCTCATGTTGAGTTATGACAATTTCTGTGATATTTTTTCAACAAAATACCGTGTTCTACTTTAGATTATCCTCAAATTTGAATTTTATTTAAATAAAAATTTCAATGAAACTAGTTCATGGCGCAAATATTTTGTTTTCTATTCTCAGATAACACAATTGAAAATTTTGTGTTGTAGGAAAAAACCAATGTTTTGTGGTATAATTATGTCTTACGAGAGGAGATACTTTTGTCAGATTTTTTTTTTAAATGCCAAACATCATTTTTTGAATAACTCACGATGGTTCCTAGTTTCATTACCTAGAGCAATGGCGGGAGGGGGAGGAACATCTATCTATGTAATATTCATTACGTTTCAAGGAGATTTGCAAATGAACATTTCTTCTGTTGCATATTTCTACGAGTTTTCGTAGCAACCTATGCTCAAATTATATAAAAATACAGCCTAGAGTAAATCATATTGTCCATAAAATTATTATATTTCAGAAAACTTCTCTTGAAGTATGAGTTTAGAGTGAGAGTGAAACAATCGAACACTTATATGGGGAGGTTACAGTACCCTTCAGGCTACATTTTGGTGTAATTTGAACATAGGTTGCTATGAAAACTTGTAGAAATATATTATTTAATGGTGAAAATTCGACTTCGATAGCTAGGAAATATCGAAAGTTATTCAAAAAATAGTGATTGGCATTTTAAAAAGAAATTCGAAAATCGATTTTCTTTCAACAAAAAAAAACCATTCAAATGACCAGAACTAAACAAGAAAAACTTATAGACACAAATCCTTTTCGATTTTCTTTAGTTTCAATAGAGTCTATTTCATGTATTAAAACTCATCTCAAAAGCGATTTATCATTTTGACGAAGTTTTCCTCATCGGTACATGAATTAGACTTATGAAAGGACTTCGTTTAATTTCAATAGTTTAAACGATTCAGACCCATAGTTTGACATTTTTGTATCTCAATCATTTTCCGAGCCGGTGCCGACGATTGGTCGGTCTAGACCTATCACATGTTGATGTTAAGATGAATATCTAGTTTTATTGAATACATGAAAAATAAAGACAACGTCTTCGTTCAATGAAAGAAGAGATAACAGAAACGATCATACGTATGACATAATGAAATATTCCATAGAACGAAAGGAATATGATGACGAAGAAAATTTCAACATACACTAAAATAATGATATAAGGAAAATCGCCCGAGTTATTTGTTACTATAACACAAGACTAGTCCGAATTTTATACAGACCTGTTCTATCTGTACTCTAAGCACAATAATAATTTTTCATTTCGAATGTCAATCAAAGACACGAATATGAATTCCTTGTAATTTTATAAGGATTTATGTCTAGTTAGCTTATAGAATGTTCTCTTATGAATGAATCAAAAAAATTGAATTTTTTAGCTTTCAAAAGTTCTACAAATGATGGGTAATGAAATGAATTTTCTTAATCAACACTTACAAACAACATCAATTCTATTACAAAAACAACTTGATTTAGCGCGTGATAGTTTACATGCATGTTCTGTTCAATTTGCTCGTATGTTTTCATTAAAAATTTCTTTGATTTTAAAAGATTTTTTTTTTTTTTTTATTATTTAGATTTAAAAAGAATGATTCAACAACAAATTTAACTTTGGAGGTTTTTTTTTTGTGTATTTTGTCTTTTATTTTGAAAAAGAAATATGAAATTTAACTATACTTTGCACATTATATATGTATTAATAAATTTTTCTTTTTTGTTCTGTTGTTCCGTTTCTCTTTATTTTGATGACGATGTGAAAAAGAAAAAAAAATTTATGTATAAGCGTGTGTGTGTGTGTGCGTGTATCTATCTATTTGTTCATTCATTTAGTTTTGTTTTATATATATTTGCATGTGTAGATAGTATTGAAGATTATTGAAACAAACAAACAAACAAACAAAAAAAAAGAATTGTCGACATATTTGTTTTCTTTTTCGCGTTTAACTCTTCTATAAAGTTCTTGTTTGGTATTTTTTTTTGCCCAGTATCCTTCGTTTTTTCGATTGACAAACTACGACTGTCACTTTTTTTCTTTTTGATTTTTCTTTTGGTTTAACTGTGTGTATTGCAGTCATTGTTTCTTGATATCTATATATATATATATATATATAAATATGTATGCCTAAACATGAAATAAATTTGTTTAGTTTACACAAAAAAAAAAAAAAAAGAAAATTTGACTAAATCAATGTTAAGAGAGAAAAATAGTAAAAGATAGAACGAGGTAAGATATGTGAGAAAATCCATATATCGATATTTTAGATGGAAGTTGATGGTGAAGTTGAAGTAGAAGCTGATTTGCCAACTTCATCATCTTCAACAGTTCTAACAACTACGACAACTACAAATGGCAACAATCTACCTATACCACTTCGTGTTATTTTACCGACTTCATGTGAGTGCCTCTTTTCCGGTTTCAAGCGGATTAGTTGGCCATTGTAGAAATAATAAGAATTAAATTTATTTAAAAAAAAAAAAATTTTTTTTTTCTTTATCTGAAAGAATAGTTCCATATTTGTTTTCATTTGACATTCCAAACATAAATATATATATATATAACGAATATGAAGATAAGAATAAAATCTCAGTGGATATTATCTTGATTTCAAATCACATCGTATTCATCTTAGATATATTCTTTATTTAATATAAAAAAAAGTGATCAAATGATACATATATTTGCGATAAGTTTTTTTTGTTTGTTGATCTGTTGTTATTATTCTGGTCGTAGGGTTGAATGACACAAATTTGCAAGCTAATCATTCAGCTACTTAGAAGTATTATTTGTAATGGAAATTCGTATTCGATATGTGGTTGCGATTGAATCAATAACAAGTTCTTTTAGAGACTTGTTCAATCAGAATTTCATGTCAAATACGAAATTTTGCCACGAATAGTACTCAATTAGACGAGATATTACATGCTGTATAAACGAAGCCTTTAAGAAACTGATAGAACTATCCAGCAATGATGGTAAAATCTTAGAAAATTAGTCTATTGAGATAGATTTGTTTAATTATTTAGATATGAAGCTCGTATATATATATGAGCAGAGGCTACGTCATTAGTCGTCTTCTCGACGATCCGAAGCCACTAAAAAATAGTATATGACATGGAGGGAATCAATACAAATTCAAGATTGGGTAGCTAGAAATATTGCTGAAACGATTTGTAAAATTTTATACCAATGTTGGTATTAATGGTTGAAGTTTAAAGTAGCCGGTTTGCAGGATAAATGTTAGAGAATTTTTCTCAGACAGGGCACGGAAAAATCTTATGGTGTAAATCTTTAGTTTAAAGTAGGATGAGTTGACTCCAGATCCCTTGTGGACAATAGAAGATCCTTCTTTAATTAATAGTTTTTCTCGAAAAGCTGTAATTTTAATTAGGATATTTCCATTAAAGTATCCCTGTTATCCATTTCAAAAAAAGAATGGACTCAGTTGTTTGTAGAATAACTCGGCAACACTGATAGCTATTGAGCTCGGGTTTTCGTCGTTAGAAAGAGCATGAGTGGAGGCACAAGTCTACCTGAGAATCAAAATACTTGAAAAGTTTTCTAGAGGGTTTAAAAGATTTTTTTGGAAAATCACTGACGGATTCGCTTGACTAGCTAGGATATTCTATGGGCAAATTTTCAGGTCGAAATTCCATAATTTCATTTTCCGGTAAATATTTAGGAAAGTATCGAAAATTCAGTAAAAATAATCATAAGTTTTTAAGGAGAGTTTGAAAACGCCTAAAAGATTTGAGGTTTATAAAGCAAACATTGGAGTACAATATGGCTAAATTGAAATTGAAAACACAGCTAATCAAGTAAATCAGACAGTGATTTTCCAAAAACAATTCCTGGAATCCCATAGAAAACTTTCCAAGTATTTTGATTCTCAAATAGACTTGTACTCCCACTTAGTCTCTTTCTAAAGGCGAGAACCCAAGCTCGATAGCTATCAGTTTTGCCAAGTTATGCAACAAACAATCGAGTACATTCTTTGCTGATATGGAGAATAGTTTTCAGAACATCGAGCTGGGAATCTCAAAAGACTGAGCAATATTATTTCTGGATTTCTAAAACTCTAGGAATCATTTGTTAAATCTATAAAATCGCTTTGCTTTTCTAATGAAACCTTTTTAATTAGAAATAATGAAACATAATTGAAGATCCAGGACCTTCAATTTCGAGAAGAAATTTACCATGTAAAAATATCATTACATTATCGGCATTCTATTTCTAGTTATCCAATCAAAGGAAAAAGATAATTTTATGAAACACAATCTAACAAGAGTATTGAAGTATAAGAGTAAAAATTGGGAGCCTTCTCCCTCACACTACAGATCCACATCCCACTATAATATATGAGCTACTTTCTTATTGTATTTCTGGATGATGATGATGCAGAAATGTGTTCCAAAATAAATAGAATAAAATAATATCTTTGTAATCAACTGAAAAAGATTAGTTTACGAAATAAAAAGTTCTCTTAATGCCAAGAAAGAACTTCTTTATTTCTTTTTTTTTGTCCTGTCTTTCAAAGATCAATTCATTATAAGTCCAGATGATGTCAATCGTTTATTGGAAATGCGACGTATATTTTATCAAAAAGAAAATGAACGAAAATTATCAAAATTAGGTCTTCCAATATTAGTTGATAATGATGGACGTTTATCAACAACAACAACATCAACAAATGATGATAATACAAATTCTAATGCAGTTTCATCATCAACAGGAAAACCTATTCGACGTCGTGATATGGAATGGTTATCTATAGTATTACCATTTGTTAAAAAATATAATCCACATTGTGGTATATGTGCATCAAGTAAAAATTATGGTCGACGTTTAGATACAGCAAATAGTTATTTATTACGTTCATATTTTTATTGTCAAGGTCGTGATTGTCCATTTAATTGTATAGTTACAATAAAAGAAAATGGTAAAGCATTATTATGTTCACGTTTTTCAAATGGAAATATAGTTGATCATCGAAATGCTAAACGTGTTGCAAGACCAAATCGTTCATTAAATAAATCAAATATAAATCATAATAATAATAATAATAACAGTAATAATAATAATAATAATAATAATAATAGTAATAATAATAATAATGAAATACGTTCAAATAATTCAACAAAACGTTATCGTAAATCACTAAATCCAATTTTACAACAATGGAATCAAACATTTACAGATGATTTAACAGCAAATTTTAATACAAGTGATTTAAATTTAACTGATGCTGATTTTGAAGAAACATTACGTTTATCATCAACAAAACGTTTTATTAATATGTGTTGTAATCTTGTACAACTAACAACAAATTTACGTCATGAAATTGATCCAACTGGTTTATTACCAGGTGCATTACAACATGTTTCATTAAGTCCATTTCATATTGCTGTTCATACAGAAAATTCCGTTCGATATTATCATTCAATGTTAACAAAAAAATCACTGGATAAACCACCACCACTTATACATATCAAACCAGCGACAACTATTCAACAAAATAATACAATTAGTACAGCTAGTCAAAGTAGGTTTGTTTTTCAATAGAATTAAAATGTCTTTAAATGTTTATGCGATATTTAAGAACACATATCAATGAAAATTTTTAGAAATCGATCGGAAGTTAGAAAATAAAATCTTTATTTCACTGACACAATTTGATTTTTGATGCTGGAAATCTGATGATGACCGCCCAGTGCCTTCTCCCTCTTAATTCGCCACTGGTGTGTGAAGTTCATCTGACCACACATATCCATACTCATCTTAACGAGGGAACTACCTGAACTGTTATCTGTCGTCGGAGTTCATGTTGGGTTCACAAGGAGGATTTGGTAAGACTAGAGAGATTCTAAACAGGCTCATGCCTATGAGCCTCTAAAGCTAAGTTAGAACCGTTTTACTGAGTTTTAGGTATTTAACGAAAAATCAAATAACGAAATTTCAACTTGAAATTTTGCCTGCAGATAGATTTGACGACTCTGGGAATATTCTAAAAGTTTCAGCGTAAAAGAATGTTCCTCCGTCGAGATATTGAATTTCAAAAAAAATTTTCATTTGCACAAAAATCGAGTTTACTTGAAAATTCAATATCTCGACAAAAGAACATTCTTTTCAGCTGAAACTTTCAAGTTATTTCTAGAGTCATCAGATGAACTTGGCTCCAGAGAGACTTCATGGGTCGAACTCTTTTAAGATTTCTTTAGTTTCACCGAGACATCCTTGTGAAGCTAATGTGGACTAAAACGGCGGGTATCAGTTCGGATAGTTTTCTCGGAAGGGCGGGCGAGTGATATTTATCTTTCAAACACATTTCTTTGAAAAAGTGAGAAAAAAAACAAGGACATTTTTTTTCTATAAAAGTCAGGAGAGGAACGAAAGGATTATGCTTCTGGTGGTCTTAGTAATGGTTTCTGAGCGAAAAAATATACTGTTTTATAGTCACCTTGATGTGCTCTACAATCTCCTCGGATCACAAAAGTTTTTCGTTAGGAAAAACTGATTTTCCAGAAAATGAGTCTCTGTAGTCTTAGCTATCGGTCTCGTATTGATATTCGTAGTTAGCATCGTTGTTTACCTATAATCCACTAGATTTGTTG